GTGAAATTGTCATAGAACTATCTAGAAAAGGAAAAGGGAAAAAAAAAATCAAGGGCTGGTAAATACAACAGATGACTACTAGCAATCAAACACCTACTGTCAGACCCTATGCTGAGGAATCCAGATATCCACACCTATTTTTAAACCAGTGCAGCAAGAAGGCTCTAAGGCCGAGATTTACAGATAATAAACAGGGTCAAAAAAGTTAAATATTGGCTGGGTGCAGTGGCTCACGCCTGGTATCCCAGCACTTTGGGAGGCCAAGGCAGGTGGATCATGAGGTCAAGAGATCGAGACCATCCTCGCTACCATGGTGAAACCCCATCTATACCAAAAATACAAAAATTAGCTGGGTGTGGTGGCACATGCCTGGAGTCCCAGCTACTTGGGAGGCTGAGGTAGAAGAATCACTTGAACCTGGGAGGCAGAGTTTGCAGTGAGCTGAGAGCACACCACTGCACTCCAGCCCGGACGACAGAGTATGACTCTGTCTCAAAAAAAAAAAAAAAAGAAAAGTTATGTATTGTGATAAGTGCCTATTTTTTAGAAATATATATTGAAGTATTTAGAAATAACTGATAGAATGCCAGTGGGGACAATAAATAGAAATAACTGGTAGAATTTCTTAAATCTGCTTTAAGATAATGCCAGTGGGCAACATGGATAAAGCACAACTGGCCATGCTGATAACTGCTGAAGCTGGGAGAAGGGAGGATATTCATTGAACTACTCTTTCCATGTCTAAGTTTGAAGTTTTCCATTAAAAAATTCCTGTAAGTTTTCTAAAAACCTTCAATTTGCTACACCTGTCCATGAGTCCCTAGGTCACCTATCTGACCTCTTTATCTGCTACCTGGACACCTCTACCCATACTCTCTTGTGGATCTTTATTCAAATGAAGACCTTTCCCATGACCTCCAAACTGAGACTTTCCCATCACCTTTGATAAAACAGCATTTCTACAGGTAACCGCTTTCCCCATGTACTGCCTATAGCCTTCTCTACAGCATTCATCTTCTGACAGCTTCCTCATCAATTCATAACTAACACTTATATCTTATATGACATTTACTTTGTGCCTGGCACAGTTCCAAATTTTCTACATGCACATCACTTCCTTATGCCGTGATTAGCTCAGAATTCTTCAAGGTGTTTCAGATTATTATCATCATAGCCCAGCCCCCAACAAAAATGAACTCTCTTGGTGTCTACATAGCCACATCCAAAGGGCAGCTGGAGGACAGGGGTGGGGTGAAGGCTATTAAAGGTATCTTGAATAAGAAACAGTCAATATATGAGCAAAACCCACAAGTCCAAGTGGCATTGTTTGGAAAAACAGAAAGCATGGAAACTATCATCTTTATTTTTATTTTTTTATTTTTTATTTTTTTAGAGACAGGGTCTCGCTATGTTGCCCAGGCTGGAGTGCAGTGGCTATTCAGAAGCGCAATCCCACTACTGATCAGCATGGGAGTTTTGACCTGTTCCACTTCCGACCTGGGCCAGTTCACCCCCACTTAGGCAAGCTGGTGGTCCCCTGCTCCTGGGAGGTCACCGTATTGATATCAAACTTAGTATGGACACCCATTCGGCATAGCGCACTACAGCCCAGAACTCCTGGGCTCAAGTGATCCTCCCACCTCAGCATCAGGCATAGCTGGGACTATAGCCACGCGCCACAGTGCCTGGTGAAAATTATCATCTTTAATTTCACAGTTAAGTGAAGATAACATGGAGTAAACAATGAATTGTTTCTGCCATACTAGACAAACAGCCAGGCTACCAGAGCCATTTTCAAATGACCAAGACCCAGGAGGCCCAGGCTAAACTAATCTAGCTGTAATTCTACAAGCACAGGAGTGAAGAGAAGATTTTTAAATCTTGTGAGCTCAAATATCTTTTCAGAATATTAATATTTACCCAGCATGGAGCAGACTGCCTATACCTTGGCAATGCTAGTGACGTTGACATGTCTACCTCCCTGAGCCCAGATCACAATAAAACCAAGTCTAAACCTAGAGTGAGCAACCAAAAAAACCTCCGGATTTTTATATAAAAGTCGTGGGACAAATAAAATGATTTAACAATTGAGCCATATTTTTAAAAAATACTTGTAAAATATGCATATAGATAAGTGCAAGTCTCTTCACTTAACAAACTTAAAGTGGCCATGCCAAAAACATCTAAGAATCATTTCCAAGTAAATACAGAGTAGGAAGTGCCCTACAATTATTTTTGGAATTCAGCTCTTTTCTGCTCAACTGTAGCTTGTTGAAGTAAAAGAATGTAAAAGAGTTATTTACTATATGATTGTACTTACTACACAATTTTCTACAAATGTACTTACTCTACAATTCTCATCACCTAAAATCAACCGGTGAACAGCACCTGCTGACTACGGGTGCTTTTCAATGTTACCTACTGAAAAAAAACCTTTCAGGTCTAATTTACATTTACTTCTTTTAATAAATATAAAGCATTCATCATTGGAATGAACACATTTTTTAAAGAATAATTTTTCGACATAATTGTTGGAAAAATCGCATTAAATGTATAGTTTATTTTAACATCTATTCATTTTCCAGCCTACTGATGGCAAAAAGGCTTGAATCTGAAACTTTTGTTTTTACACTTAGAAATGTTTTACTTTCACAGATCATACTTTATGCTCAGTAGAAGCAAGGCATTCATTCAATGTAGAGTTATTATCACCATTTTATGGGTCAGAAAAGGAAGTAAAGTGACGACCACAAAGCCGCTCAGCAGTATGCGCAAGTCCAAACCCTGGAACCTTGTCCAGAGCCCCTAGTGTCACCATCCATGTCGCCTCCGTGTGTCGGATAGAACACAATGCTAAGTTAACACACACACACACAGGACCCAATTAAATATAATTTTTATGCCAATCTGAGAAAAATGACTTCATAGCGGTGTGATTTTGAGCAATGCACTTAACCTCCCCATGAAGGATGGTATGAGAACAAACAGATTTGTAGCACGTGTATCAGTCTGGTACACAATGTCCTATGAAGGTTAACTTTATTATCACCATCACTACTACTGCAAAAAGACTTTCAGTTCAGAATAAGACAGCACAGTTAAAAAGGTCTACTTTTATTTTCCAGCTTCTTAACTGAGTCATCTTTCAGCTCCTTTTAATTAAAAAGAAAAAACAATCAGAGATCTAATGGGGTATCAGGAAGATACGCAATATGACTAACAGGCACTAATATTATTACACTTATAGTCTTTGGAAGGCTGGGCATACTTATCCAAGAACAGCCTAAATTTTTACAGTAACACACCCGACATGCTAATCTTCAATATTAGAAATTCCATTATTTCTCTCCATACTAGAAATAATTGTTCCATATCAGAAATATGGATCTAGATTAAGTAACAAGGAAAACGATTCAAATTTACCAATGCTGTTGTTTGTGTGTCTTCAGATGTGTGAGGAAAAAAATGTGTCAGCAAGCAACGCACCCTTTCTTTAGTTTTTTACTTATTGTCATCTAAAGATCATTCAAATAAAAATGTTTACTCTTGGATGCTTAACCTTGGCTCTGACAGAACGTTCCCTGTATCAAAAAACAAGAACTCAGCCGACAAACTTTTTGGAATTAAATGGTCGCATAAAGACTATGTCCAGTCAAAGCTAAAGCTAACCCCTCTTCTCAACCCGAGACTATGATCCTCAATTTTCATCAAAGTTCCTACCATCTCCCACTTTGTACAGACCCTAAAGAAGTGAATGAAAAAGCCAAAGTTCCTGTCCTCTGCTGTCACTCAGTAACAAGCAGTTTCATGTGGCAGAAAAGAAACTGGGGTTTGAGAAACAGATGCATACTGACACTCTGGACCGGTAATCATGAAAACCCCAGCACTGACAGCAAAGATGCTGTGTTAACTCCGTTCCAAACAAGGTCCTGCTGGGAGCTGGCAGTGTTTGAGCGGCCAGCAATGTGGAGATACCTCCATAGCATACTTTACAGGCTTCAAAACACCTCCCTCCCTCCAAGCAATTAACCTTCCAAACCACACATTACCGTACAGCAGGAGCACTGTCCCCCCCGAGGCAAGGAAACTGAAGTTCAAGGAAGTTTCTTGACGTGTCAAGATCTCTCCGCTACTTTGGCTTTAAGAAACTGGGTCTAAGAAACTCAAGCTTATGGATTCTGTGTCCTCTGCACGCTCCCACCACATCTGCAATTCAAAGATCCTTCCAAAATTCCATTGTAATAATCTAGCAAGGGCAGCTCTTGAGTATACCTTTCCCTCTGAGTCTTAATTTCCACTCAAGGCGAAATAACACTTCCTCTGAAAGTTCTCCACGTTCTCCAAGCAGACAGCATCAAGTTCGCAGAGGATCCGTATCAGTCCCAGCCGGTGAATTCACACGCGGCGGGTGGGGGGAACGCTCGCCTGACCGCGTCCGGCGTGGCGTTAGGGGTGGGGGGGGGCCTGGGGGTGAGGGGCGGGGCGGCGACGCCGCGTAAGGCGCTCCCACCAAATAACGCCGCGATTTCACACTCCAGCCTAGCTCAGTTGTGTGGCTAAATGTTTGTTTTTCTGCCACCAGATATGCACGACTTTGGGTGTACTGAGGACGATAACCGATTAAAGACACGGATCCCGGAACACTGCGCCTGGGAGGACGCAGGGCGCAGGCTCTGCAGTCACTGAGAGCCGCCGTGCGTACGAGCGCCCTGAGGGCCCGCTTCTGCGCCCTTCCCGGCCCTAGCCCAACACGGGGTCCGCCCCACTTCACAAAGTCAGCGCGGCGGAAGTCCGCCACCCGCGAGGAGCCCTTTCCTACTGTCCCCAAAGGGTCCCCGACACCGCCCTGACCGACCCTAGACACCGGGTGTCTGCCGGGCACAAACCTCTCCGGCGCCCCTTCCACCCTCCCGCCTCTCCGCGGCCCGCCCTTCCCGTTCGCCAACCGCCCTCTCCGCCCCGCGCCGGCCCTCTCCCGCCCGCGGCCCCGCCCGCCTCACCCCGGCGGTGGAAAGCTGCGCCGGGGAAACGCCACGCGTCGGGTCCTCGCTCGCGCGGCTCCGGGCAGCGTTCCGTGGCCACGGCGCTCCCCTTAGCAGAAACGGGAGAGAGGAGAGCGACCCAGGAGGGGGCAGCGACGCCCCGACGCCGCCCCGCCCGCCGGCGCCCCCGCGCCCCACACGGGGGCCGCCGTAGCCCTCAGGAAGCTCCTCGGGGAAGCGAAGCGCCACTCCCGCTGCAGGCGCCGAGACGCCGCCGCGATGGAGGGGACTCTGGCCACGCGCGCCCTACATCCGGGCTGCGGCGCCGGGCCTCGACCCGTCCTGTTAGAAATCCCGCCCTGGCCTCCCCTCGGGGCCAGACGCAACGAAGCTTTCAGGGGTCGGAGACCTGGCAGCAGTGAGTTCCCTACCCCCAAATGCCCCAAGCAGCAGTATTTCGGGTTCATACAATTGCCTGAAATAAAGACCGAGTCTGCCCTGAAATCGACCGTGAGCTACCGTTCTCTGACCTCTCCGCTGGCTGCTTCCCCCAGAGTCGGAGTCCGACTCATTTAGGACTTCACTGTCTGCGTTAGTTCAGCCTTCACTGTCAAGCAACTCATCACCACGTCTTTTGCAGCGAATGTTTGGAATCCCATCACGGGTGTGCAGTGGTTAGTCCTGAAATCGTGGTGGTGCTAGAAGAACCTGCCAACCAGTACGTTAAGTTTTCATGAATAGAATCTTGAGCTGTGGCCGGGCTCTGTGGCTCACGCCTGTAATTCCAGCACCCACTTGGGAGGCCGAGGCGGGCGGATCTCTTGAGATCAGGAGTTCGAGACCAGCCTGGCCAACATGGTGAAAGTCCTTATCTACTAAAAATGTAAAAATTAGCCGGGCGTGGTGGTGCGTGCCTGAAATCCCAGCTACTCGGGAGGCTGAGGCAGGAGAATCGCTGGAACCCCGGAGGCTGCGAGATTGTGCCATTGCAGCCCCAAACCAAACCCATTGCATTTTCCTGGGTTCCCTGGCTTTGTCTTTTGTCATTTCCAGGATGGACAAAGGCACTGGTAATTTGGGCTTTACTTGCCTGGCACCTCTGGCATAGAGTGGTAAAACGGTAGCTCCATGTACTAGTTGCTGCCATTTTCAGATAAAATCCTGAATCAATATGACGAAAGTCAGATGAATACTAGCTGCCGATCACCCTGCTTTCCTTGGGGGCAGCCTAGACCAGCTTACCTGTAAGAACGCTGGATATTTGGTATATTTAGAATTCTAAATACAGTATCCCAGGAATTCAGGTCAGCTGAAGGACTATTGGGAAGGGCTTATCTTAAATGAATCAGAAAGAAAAAGGTGAGGGTGTGTTCTAACGGTTTTTCTGTATCAGCTAAGGTACAGGTACGTTTTCTTATTATTTTAGGTACGTTTTCTTATTATTTTAAGCAAGCCTATGAGCATCCCTGAGAATAACAAATCATTGTTCCCATTTCACAAGGGTGAATCTATGACTTAGCTTAAGTAACTTCCCGAAGGTCACAGAGCTAGTAAGTAGCACAGTTAGGCTTTGAAGGCAGGTGTATCTAACACCAAACTCTGTCCAATTCTACCAAACCACCAGCAAGATAGAAGAATAATTAACGAAAGGGACCAGGCAAGAGCCTGTTTCAGGGATATTTAAAGGGAAAGAGGAGTCAAGGGAAGTTAAAGAATCTTGAAACGAGAGGAAATACCATGCCAGTAAATCAGTGAGTCAAAAACCAAAAACAACTGGATTAGTTGGCAGATGGGGCATAGTCCAAGGCAAGACAATCATTCTTGTAGGGAGATTAGGATATTCTGGACCAAGATTGTGGGCTTTCGTCATCCCCTCTGAAGCCACTCTGAAATCACCTTTATCAAAACTGCCATAAGGCAGGCCTAGACACCATCACATGGGCCTTCTAAATCTGAGTATAGACGCTCAACATCTGGTCACAGATGCAGGAGGTCCGCACTCAGTATCTCTGGAACTAAGGAGGAACATCCAGGACGGGTTTTTCAAGTTAGGAATGCTCACTGGAAATCTGCTCTGTCCCCTCTGGGATCTGGAAGTAGAATTCCCCAAGCACTAAATGCTGAGGCGTGGGCTTTCCAAGAATTGTCTGATTGGTTAATTCTGAGAACGTCACTGATCATTACAAACGGAGCACCATGCAGGAAAAGGAGAGGCTGGTTTTGGGTTTTTTTCATGGGGAAGGTGAACTTCCAGATCACTACCTTCCAAGACACAGGGCTTGAAAGCAGTGAGTGTCAGGGACGACTCACCGTGTTAGCTAGCCCAGCTGGGCTCATGCCCAGCACCCACTCATCACACACAAAGCTCCACTGTGGCCAGGGCAGCCTCATAGAAGGCCAAAAGCTTAGCAACTGCCGGCCAAAACCCAGCTAGGCTTCACAAGAAGCGATTTGTGCTGTGAGCAGAGCTTTAACCTCGGTTTTGAACTCATCTGACAGCAAAGGGGAAATCAGTCTCTGTACAAAACAGGAAGGAAATGAGATGAACTGCATAAAAAGCTACCAGAAGGTGCCTAATGGCATCCTCACCACACAGAAGTCCCGGGAAGAAAGACTGATGATGTTGCGTGAGAGAGAAGCCCAGACAAGCACCAGGGAGGAAAAGAGCAGAGGGAAGCTGCATTTGGCTTAGCTGTTTCTCTTCCTCCTTGCCTGTCTGACTTAAACAGCCACTGTCTGCAAAAGGATAAATTTGTATGTATCTACTTACACGAGGAACCTAGAATAGACAAATTCATAGAGACAGACTGTAGAATAGAAGTTGGCAGGGCCTGGCAAAATGGGGAATCAGGGGTTATTGCTTAATGGACACAGAGTTTTCTGTCTGGATGATGAAAAACTTCTGGAGAGAGATTGTAGTGATAGTTGCACAATGCTGTAAATGTACTTAATGCCATTGAATTGAACACTGAAAAATGGTTAATCATAATACACTTTGTTATATTTTACCACAAATATATATGTATATATGTATATGTTATTTATATACTTTACATATACATATATATGTGAAATATATAAATGTATTATGATGTAATTTCTCTTTGGAATAAAAGCCCAGGTGAAAGCAATCAGCTGAGAGGGCCCCTACACCTGGAAATTCTTCCCTTGAATTTTTTTTCCCTCTTTTTATTTTAATTTGTATTTATTTATTTTTGAGATATCACTCTGTCACCCAGGCTAGAGTGCAGTGGTGTGATCTCAGCTTACTGCAACCTCCGCCTCCCAGCTTCAAGCAATTCTTGTGCCTCAGCCTCCTGGGTAGCTGGGATTATAGGCATGCACCACTACACCCAGCTATTTTTTGTATTTGTAGTAGAGACGGGGTTTCACCATGTTGGCCAGGCTGGTCTTGAGCTACTGACCTAAGGTGATCTGCCTGCCTCAGTCTCCCGAAGTGCTGAGATTACAGGTGTAAGCCACCGCACCCAGCCTTTTTGCTTAAAAAAAATTTTTTTTTGAGACAGGGTCTTGCTCTGTTTCCCAGGGTGCAGTACAGTGGCATGATACTCACTGCAGCCTTGACCTTCCAGGCTCAAATGATCCTCCCACTTCAGCCTCCCAAGTTACTGGGACTACAGATGAACAGCACCACACCCAGTTAAATTGTTTATTTGTAGAAATGAGGGCTTGCCTATGTTTCTCAAGCTAGTCTCGAACCCCTGGGCTCAAATGATCCTCTCACCTCAGGATCTCTTGAGGTCAGGAGTTCCAGACCAGCCTGACCAACATGGTGAAACTCCATCTCTACTAAAATACAAAAATTAGCTGGGAGTGGTGGTGGATGCCTGTAATCCCAACTACTCAGGAGGCTGAAGCAGGAGAATCATTTGAACCTGGGAGGCAGTTGCAGTGAGCCAAGATGGCACCATTACACTCCAGCCTGGGCAACAGAGCAAGAATCTGTCTCAATCAAATAAATAAATAAGTCAATCTATTTTGCTTTCCATTTAGGGGTGCCAGGGCCCAGGTTTTGGGTTGTTACAACCCCTTATTTAGAAGGAAGAGTGGTTCTGCCATTTTACTCTCTGCTCCAGCTGGTGATAAGTAGCTGGGGGTTTGTGGTGGCATACTGAGAGATGTAGTTCTAAAAGGGACTCTACCTTTGAGGACTAAGCTCTGATTTTTTTTTCATCTTGCCCAAATTCCTATGTAAGAGGTCTGGGGAGTCATGCCCTACAAATCATAAATTCTTCTCAGATGGGTTTTATTTAATCCTATATATTGTGACTTACTTTCCAATCTGACTCTGGTATAACATCATGAGACAAGGAAGAAAATAAAAATATTTTACCCCACAACATGTTTCTTTGCCATATTTTGAAATGTCCCTGCAAAGCCGTCCTTTGTGGGGGGTAATTTGCATCTGTAAAGAATCTCTATTAAAATGGCTAGATCATTTTCTTCCAGACCCTCCCAATCCTGAAGAAATTAACTCAGATCTGAATAGGAAACATTTGTCATCTATTGTCTCTAAGGACAGACACTATTAGGCTGCAAAACAGCTTTGGTTGCCACAGTTTTTATCTTAACCAGAATATTTCCTTTCTCTGAATCCCACGTTTTTAGACAAACTCAACCAATTGTCAACCAGAAAATATTTAAATTCACCTATAATGTGGAACCCACCCCCACCCCCACCCCCCATCACTGCCAGCTTTGAATTGTCCTGCCTTTCTGCACCAAACCAAGTATTTATTTTTCTTTCTTTCTTTTTTTTTAAATTATACTTTAAGTTCTGGGGTACATGTGCAGAACATCAGGTTTGTTACCAGGTATACACATGCCATGGTGGTTTGCTGCACCCCATCAACCTGTCATGTACATTAGATATTTGTCCTAACGCTCTTGCTCCCCTAGCCTCCCGGCACCAGCTGACAGGCCCTGTGTGTGATGCTCTTCTCCCTGTCTCCATGTGTTCTCATTGTTCAATTCCCACTTATGAGTGAGAACATGTGGTGTTTGGTTTTCTGTTCCTGTGTTAGTTTGCTGAGAATGTTGGTTTCCAGCTTCATCCATGTCCCTGCAAAGGACATGAACTCATCCTTTTTTATGGCT